CATGGTGGACATCCATGGAGAAGGTCAAAAATTGGGTGAAAAATGGTGGAGATTTGAGGGGAAAAAGGAGACGAAAGAATGGAGGTCCACCATGATGTTCTTCAGGATGGTCACCAAGAAGTTCTTAAGAAAATCATGGTGGACATCCATGGAGAAGGTCAAAAATTGGGTGAAAAACGGCGAAAATTTGAGGGGAAAAAGGAGATGAAAGCATGGAGGTCCACCATGATGTTCTCCAGGATGGTCACCAAGAAGTTCTTAAGAAGGTCGTGGTGGACATCCATGGAGAAGGTCAAAAATTGGGTGAAAAACGGTGAAAATTTGGGGGAAAAAGGAGATGAAATCATGGAGGTCCACCATGATGTTCTCCAGATGTTCACCATGATTGTTCTCCATGGAGGTCCACCAAGAAGTTCTCTAAGAAGATCATGGTGGACATCCATGGAGAAGGTCCATGGAGAAGGTCAAAAATTGGGTGAAAAACGGTGAAAATTTGGGGGAAAAAGGAGACGAAAGCATGGAGGTCCACCATGATGTTCTTCAGGATGGCCACCAAGAAGTTCTTAAGAAGATCATGGTGGACATCCATGGTGGACCTCCATGGAAAAGGTCCATGGAGAAGGTCAAAAATTGGGTGAAAAACGGTGAAAATTTGGGGAAAAAGGAGACGAAAGCATGGAGGTCCACCAAGAAGTTCTCCAGATGTTCTCCATGATGTCCACCATGGATGTCCACCATGGAAGTTCTCCAGATGTTCTCCATGGATGTCCACCATGGAAGTTCTCCAGGAGGTTCCTGGTGAAGTTCTCCATGGGATTGGTGGTGGCCACCATGGAGAAGATCCTGGAGAACTTCATGGTGGACATCCATGGAGAACATCTGGAGAACTTCCTGTGGACCTCCATGGTTTTGTCTCCATTTTGAACCAAATTTTTGCTGTTTTGACCCAAATTTTTGACCTTCTCCATGGACCTTCTCCACGGAGCTCCACCATAAAGTTCTCCATGAAGTCCACCATGGAGGTCCACCAGGAAAATCTCGAGAACTTCATGGTGGTCCTCCATGGAGAAGGTCAAAAATTGGGTAAAAAATAGCGACAAAACCATGGAGGTCCACCATGAAGTTCTCCAGATGTTCCTGGTGGACCTCCACGGTTTCTTCTCCACGGTCAACCCCGCTCATGTCCCATCGAGCAGAAGACATCCCACCGCTTTGGTCCCCACCCCGTTACCTAGATCTCGACCTAGTTATGGCCTTGATGTCCTTCTTCTCCTCGTCCTCCAGCTTCTTCTTGTCCTCCTTGACCTCCTGGAGGTTCTCGTCGCCTTCGTCCTCCGACTTCATCTCGGAGCTTCCTGACGAGACCCCGGTGGCCGCTCCTGGAGAAGACAACCCAGATCCACCATCAGCATCTCCAGAACTTTGTGGTGGACCTTCTCCGAGGTTCCTCGCCTCATCAGGAGGTCTTCTCCAGCTCCAAAAGCCACCAAATTTTGGCCACGGAACCTCGAGGTCCATAAGTTTCTATCTCCAAGGTTGGTCCCACCTAAGATCAACCAGCTCCAAGTTCTCTTGGTGGACCTCCTCCGANCATGGAGGTCCACCATGATGTTCTTCAGGATGGTCACCAAGAAGTTCTTAAGAAGATCGTGGTGGACATCCATGGTGGACCTCCATGGAGAAGGTCAAAAATTGGGTGAAAAACGGTGAAAATTTGGGGAAGAACGGAGATGAAAGCATGGAGGTCCACCATGATGTTCTTCAGGATGGCCACCAAGAAGTTCTTAAGAAGATCGTGGTGGACATCCATGGAGAAGGTCAAAAATTGGGTGAAAAACGGTGAAAATTTGAGGGGAAAAAGGAAATGAAATCATGGAGGTCCACCATGAAGTTCTCCAGATGTTCACCATGATTGTTCTCCATGGAGGTCCACCAAGATGTTCTCCAGGATGGTCACCAAGAAGTTCTTAAGAAGATGGTGGTGGATATCCATGGTGGACCTCCATGGAGAAGGTCAAAATTTCGGTGAAAAACGGTGGAGATTTGAGGGGAAAAAGGAGATGAAAGAATGGAGGTCCACCATGAAGTTCTCCAGATGTTCTCCATGATGTTCTCCATGATGTCCACCATGGATGTCCACCATGGAAGTTCTCCAGATGTTCTCCATGGATGTCCACCATGGAAGTTCTCCAGGAGGTTCC